AGAGGAGAGGCAGACACTGATCTCTTGTCTGTGGTGACCAGGGACAAGATCTGAGGCTGGAGTTGTGTCAGGGCAGGGTCAGGCTGGAGATCAGGAAAGTTCTTCTGTCCCCAGAGGGTGCTGGCACTGCCCAGGCTCCCCAGGGAATGGTCCCGGCCCCGAGGCTGCCAGAGCTCCAGGAGCGTTTGGACAGCGCTGCCAGGGATGGACAGGGTGGGGCTGTTGGGGKGTCTGGGCAGGGCTGGGGGTTGGTGATCCTSRTGGGTCCCTTCCTGCTCAGTTTATTCTGTGGTCCTGTGATTGACCAGATGTGAAAAGCTGCTTTGAATCGCACCCAGCAGCYCCTGCACATCCTGGGCAGTCAGTGCAGTCCCTGGGTTTGTCACTTGGGAATTGCATTGCTTGAGGAAGAGGATAATTAGAGAAAAATGAGTACCTGAAGAGAACAGGTGCTGCTCAGCTGTTTGGATCTGGTGAGGCACTTGGTGGGTTGGGATGTGCTGGAGGTGCTGGGGGATGGCASCAGGACAGGTGCTTCCCCACTTGCCATCCCATCCTGCTCCTCCAAGGACAGAGCAGGGATGGCAGCAGTGCCCTGGCACCTCCAGCAGGAGACCCGGCTTTGGGAGATGGGAACCACTCACAGGGAAAGAGATGGGCTCAGTCCTTCTCAACCCCCCATTCTGGCCTGCTGTGATGGGAATCAAATGCTGACTCACACTCTCCCTGCTGGAATGCAGTTATAGGATGATTTTATTCTTTTTTAGTGCCTAGAATAATTACCTGTTTCCTGATTGTTAYAAGGTGAGCATTTGGATTGCCAAAGAGGTTTCGGTTTAAAAGGTGTAAACACCCCACATTATCACTTTGGCTCATCAGCCAAGCAGCAAATGTGATCATGGGTGGAGAAGAGCAAAGCCAAAGTAAGGAGATTTCTCCTAGAGCTGAGGATGCAGATTAACCCCTGRAGATTTCCAGAGTGGTCCCTGGTGYGTGAGAAGCCATTGGGTCTTTGCTGTGCCATTAAAGCTGCCTTGCAGCCTTTCCCCCCTCCTTGGGGATGAGGTAGCTGCTGACTGTCATTGCTCATGTTGTAGGTTGGCTTCTGTAAATTGGTTATTTTTATTTTTAATAGATCTTTGTATGTGAGGGCTCTTTGATGGCTGGTCTGTGTACAGCCTGAGTCCTCACAGCCTGAAACGAGATTGGCTTTCCTTTTCTAAGTGAGCCCTGTATGACTGCTCAGATTTACGCTTTGTTGGGTAATGTTTACCGTGGCTTCCCTTTCCTGGATATTCTATTACTCATTGCTGTTCAATTCCTAGCAAATAAATAAATGATTTTTGCTATGGCAACAAGAACCTATCAGTTGAACAGCACAATATTCCCTGAAAAGCTGCTTTACTCTTTGCAGTGTGTCTCTGATTGCTGGGCAGAGTATTTAAATATATATATATATATATATGGATTTGGGTTGAACCCTGGATTTGTGATACAGCTGTGTGTCAGCTGAGCAAAGAGTGACAAATCCCTGCAAATATCCACAGCTGAAGGGTGCAAAATTCTTCCTTGCCACAGCTGGCAGCTTCTGCTGGGGCAGAACCAGGGGAAGCAGTGCTGGGACAGGCTGGGCAGAGGCCTCTGGCTGGGCTCCAGCCAGCTTGGCTCTGCTGGAACACGCTTTTCTTCTAAAGAAACGGCTCCTGTTAGCTTTTGTCTTCCCATAAAAGTCTCTGTGGTCTGGCAGGGCGCTGCTGGCTGTGCAAACCTGTTGTCTGTGCCATTACTGGGCTCTTGGTTTTCCTTTTTTGCTGCTTCCTGGGACTGAGGCTGCCTGCTGCTCCTCACACACGGGCTCAGTTCTGCTCTGGAGCCGCTCAGAGTGTTCTTTGCCCCATGTGTCCCCTGGTTCTGCCTGAATGCTTTGCCCTCCCTGTTCTGTTGGGTCAAGCAGATCTGCTTTGTGCTTCCTTGAAACCATGCCATGCTCAGAGAGGGGAGTTTGGRTGCCAGCACAGCAGCTTTTGGGGTTTGGGGCTCTCTCCCCACAGGCAGAGCTGACTGAGTGCCCCAGGGTCCATCCTGTGCCAGTGCCTCATGTTTGCTSTGCCTGGGTGTGCCCAGGGCTTTAYTGCAGCAGCTGTGGGGCTCTGCCTGGTGCTCAGGAGCAGCTCTGGGAGCASGGGCTGGCATCTGCCMTAGGGCAGGTCAGGATGGTTTGGGGCTTGTGTCACAGTGCCCCTGTGCCACACACAAGGTCTGGCTGAGCCTTGGCAGTGATCTCGGCCCCAGCTGTGCCCGGGGTGCCAGGGCTCACTGAGTGCCCTGTGTGAAGGGCTCCAGCATTGCCTCCTGCTCCAACTGGCTGTGGGGAGCAGGAGCTGTTGGGTTTGGGGCTGTGGGTGTTGCCTCCAGACTCTGTGTGGGATGTGGCTGTCTCCAGGCCATTTCTGCTCCGTTCTGCTCTTTGGTTTTGCTTCCTGCTGAGGCTGTTTTCTCCTCCAGCACTGCATGCACCTTTGGTCCAAACTGGACTCAAAGTMATTTTTCTTAGAGATTTCCTCCAGATAGCAGAAAACCAGGAACATTTAGTTCCATCTCCCAAGCTTAAATTCTAAACTCAAGGCATATCTCTGCTGTCTCCTTTGTTTTCTATGTTCAGYCAAGTGCTTCTTGCCCTGCAGTGCAGTCTTCAGTCCTGGTAAGGAGCCTGTGTGCAATGTCTGGTTCTGGGATAGCTCCTGAGCTTCCAGRAGCCCTGGGCACCTCCACCCCTGTGGCCTCCGTGCCTGGCAGCGTGGCTCATCCCCAGGACAGACACCACATTGTGAGCAGTGACAGCCTGGCTCGGATCAGGGAGCATCTAGGTCAGCAGCAGGGATGGGAAATTCAGGGAGCAGCAACTGGGATGCTCTAAGCTAAAGGACCATTTTATTCCAACCCCTTTTCTCTGGAATAGAATCACTCTTCTCCCCAGGTGTCATYTGGGGACACTCAGAGTGGCTCTGGCCAGAGCTGGGGCAGGGAATGGGGAAAGGCAGCTGGCTGTCCTCTATGTAGTTTCCATCCTGCCTTTTCCTGGGAGCAGGGGAAGGGAGGCAGCCTGTGTTCAAGGTTTATCCTGCACTGGGGCAGAGCAGCACAGGGCTCCAGCTGTGGATTTGCAGTGTGGAGGAACTGCAGCTGCTCCCTCTGTTACCCAGATTCCAGCTAAGCTCCCCTGGCTGCTTTGCTGAAAAGCAGCAACGGAATGCTCCTTGTCCTGTTCTGATCCTGCCATAGCTCCAGGGCTCCTGCCATGGGCAGCACAAGTGGCATTGTGACCTGCTGGCAGCTCTGGCCCWTGGGCACATCCAGGTGTGACTGTAGCAGCCCCCAGAAGTGTCACTCCGGTGCTCTGATGGCTGCTGTGGCAGGGAATGGGTACACCTGGGCAGCACCGTGGTGTTTGGGAGCTTCTCAGGGCCAGGTGCCACTTCCCAGGCTGTGGTGCTTTTGTGTAGATGGGAAATTGCAGATCTGGCCATGGGATAAATGTGCTGCACTTGCTCCTTGCCACGGAGGCATCTGGAGAGATCCCAACCATCCGGTTCCTGCCTCCTGTCACAAGCTGCCACGTCCTTTCCATTCTGTTTATAACCCTATCAGCTGAATTTTAATTGTATTTAGAAGTGGAGGGATCACAGCACCCTTTCAGACAGCTGCTCCTGAACCTTGATCTCTGTTGGCTAAATACTTCCCTCCTTCTGGCATGAATGTACTTCTGGCAAGCTTCTCCTCCTTGTTTGTCTSCTGTGTGCTGGCATCAGCAGTTCTCTGCTCCTTGTTTTTTTTTTTTCTGGAGCACTTACAAAGAGCTGTTAGGCTTTTTCTCCACCTTCAGTTTTGTTGTGTGAAGTTTTTGCCAATGAATCTCCTCTGCACCTATTGAGGTGACCTGTAACCAGATCCCTGGAGCACAGCGGTAGATAATGATTAGGACAGGCAGGGCTGCAGGGGAACAAACCCTTCCCTCACCTTTTCTTTTCAGCTTGGAAGAGCACATCTGGAKTTCATTCCACCACCTGCTGGGTGTTATTGGGAGGATGGAGCCAGGCAGTCCCTGTTTCCAGCAGAAATGCTTTTCTTCATTCCTGGGTTATTTAGGCAGCATCCTAATTATTATTACAGTCTTGTAGCAAATCCCAAATTTTCTTCCTTAGTTATTCACAGGTGATGAGCTTCTCTTAGAACAAGGCTTGCCCTTAAACACAACTCCATTTCTAGTGTTTTTGCTCACCAGTTTTCTTCATGACCCATAAAATTCTGGTTTGTCCTTGATGAACTCTTGTGTTTGAGTCCATTTCTCAGTCTCCCATAGACCGTGGAAGGGTCATTAGTGACAAWACAGGAAAAAACTTGTTTTAAACCAGAACCTTTATGGTCTTCCCCTTGTCCAGTATTTTCCCTGTCTGCCTCCAGCTCTTACCATCTCTCCTTTAGCTGCTTCCTTCTTCTCACTTCTGTTTTTCTGTTTTTAAGCCCTGTTTTACATAGCTTAAATAGCTCTTTGCCAGAATGTCCTCCCAAGACTGGAGTTCTGAACATGGATGTTTCTGCTTTCTGGAGCTTGGATACACAAAAGAGTTATCAGGAATTACCAATGTCACCTTTCCAACCTGTGGGTGCTTTTCTGCTAGGCAGCACTGATCCCATGAGAGACACTGGCAGCTCCTCCCAGGGGCTGGTTAGTGTGAGGAGATGGCAGAGGGCACAAAGCCAGAGGTTCCCTGGACRCCAGGGCCTCCTGCCTCCATCCCATCCATTTAGCTGTGCCTTTGGGTTTTCTCTCAGCGTGGCAAGAGATCCACCAAGGCCCATGGGGAGGGATGGGGGGATCTGCAGTGGCTGCTTTAAACCAGGGGCCTGTCCTGGCATGTGCAATGCCTGTGCCAGAGCCAGTGTATGGATCAGTARCTTCTTGTGCTCATCTGTGATAATTCTCCTTTGCTGTTGTCCAGATGAAGATCTCTTTCAATGAGACAAGTTTGCAGACTATGTTTGAGTACCCCTCAGAGAGCTCCTTGGCAGAAGAGGATGAGGAAGAGGAAGGCCATGCTTCTGAAACAGAGGAGGAAAAATCTCGTACTCTGTATGTTCCACGCCCAAACAGCACTTTGCATCCCAGTACACCTAACTCAGGTGAGTGAGGCACTGTRTTGGCCCCATGGGGTTTCAGGTAATGTCTGACACTGTCCATGTTTCCTACAGACCCTTAAGGGGCTCCACATGGTGGGGGGATGCTAATGGAGATGGACAGGGAGCAGATGGGCAGTTTCCAGGCTGTCCCTGCTGGGATCCTGGTCCCACTTCCTTTTGGGGTGGAGAGGAATATTTACCTCATCTTTCTCCTTCCAGCAGATTTATCCAGCTACACCCCAAAGCACTCCGTGAAGTTCAGCGAGTGGCAGGAGCAAAAGTATGAGGGTCCTGCTGCAGAGGGAGCCCTCCCAAAGGAAGCTGATTCCCATGGGAACCAAGTCATGGTGAGGCTTTAAATATGCAAGTCTTGTGCTCTCTTGTGGGGTGGGGGTCGTTCTGGGCAGTGGATGGGATGGAATGTGCCTTTCCCTGCACACCTGTGTTTGTGTCACTGCTCCCAAAGGGACTGTCCCCCTGCCACTAACACACCTGCCCCTTCCTGGCTGTGTGAAAGAGGCTCAAGGCAGCTGGCACACTCCGTGCTCAGCACAGGAAAGACATGGATCTACTGGTGCAAGTCCAGAGGAGRCCATGGAGATGCTCCAAGGGCTGGAGCCCCTCTGCTCTGGAGCCAGGCTGGGAGAGCTGGGGTTATTCACCAGAGAAGRGAAGGCTCCAGGGACACCTTCCAGCACCTTCCAGCGCCTAAAGGCGACTTGTGAAAAAAGGGAGATTGAGTTTTTACATGGGCAGGTGATGGGACAAGGGGAAAYAGTTTTAAACTAAAAGAGAAGAGATWTAGATKAGATTTTCTGAAGAAATTCTTCACTGTGATGGTGGTGAAGCCTTGGCACACGGTGGCTGCCCCATCTCTGGAAGTGTCCAAGGCCAGGTTGGACAGGGCTTGGARCAACCTGGAATGGTGGAAGRTGTCCCTGCCCATGGCAGGAGGTTGGAACAAGATGGGTTTTAAGATCCCTTCCAACCCAAACCATTGCAGGGTTTTATGATACTCCAGGGCACGTTTGGAAGGGGGGGACTAACAAAACGCACCCAGTTAACCCGGGCAAGGAGCCAAGATCCCATCCAAGGGTGTGGGTGCTCCTTCGGCCCGGGTGTGACGGCCCCTCGGTGTCCCTGTGCTCTGCCCACAGCTCACCCCGGCGGAGAAGGGCGGTCTCTCGGATTTCAGCAGCGAGCCCGCGCTCTATTTCTGAGCCTCATCGCCGGTGCTGCAGCAGCGGCTGCTGGGCAGGACGGGGCAGTGCAGCCGCCGTGTCCCCACGGGAACCGCCACGGAAACCGGCCCGACACCGCGGCGTTCCTCACATCCTGCTGCCAAGGGTGGACCAGATGCTATCAGGCATCCTCAGAGAATATTTGCACTGGATTTTGGGACCGAATTACTGCTTTCAAGGCGTATGAATTATTCTGCCTGTGGCCTTGCATATTCCTTGTTCAAGATCAGCTGCTGGTTAGGCAAATGTGGGAAGGRCATCTGTAATCCTGGGATGGATGTTGATTTTTCTCAGTGCTTATCTTAGTCCAGGCACTGTGCAGGGGCTGGACAGCTTTTGTAACCCTTCTCCCCAGGGGAGGATGGCTCTGGAGTTGGAGCTCTGGGAGCACTGGGTGGTCASGTGGGTTCACAGCGTGGCTGTGATTTGACACATGGGGTGTCAGTTGGAAAACCATTGAAGGCTCATGGTTTGTCCCTGGCACATTTCTGGCTCTGCTTTCACTGAAACATGGAATTCATGTGCTAGTTATGTGCTTGTGGAGTTCACTGAACACCCTGAGGCATGGGAAGGGCAACGAATGCCTTTAGCTTTAGGTGTTATTTTTGCACCAATCAGTAAAGAAGTGTCCAGACTTGCTTGAGCCTGTTGAAGATTCCCAAACATTGGCCATAGCTTTGGTCTGTCCTTCCCAACTGTGGCATCCAGTCTCTGGGAATTGCTGGTTGTGCTCCAGTTTGYCAGTTCCTCTTGTTGCTTTGTTCCAGATCTCACTGATCTCTCTTGGTTGCTTCCTTCGAGCCACGCTCACTCTGATCCTCTAATCAAAGCACAGGAGGGCAGTTTCACTCCTTTCTTCTGCAGAACTTGAACAAGGAATGTGGGTTTTTTTTGGTTTTTTTTTTTTTTTTTTGGATTTTTATAGTTCTATTGTAATTGTTTAATGCAGCCAATATGCAAAGGAATCTGCTAGAATCTTCCATTCAAGTTTTCTACTACTGTAAACTCAGGGTCAAAATTGCACTCTGGAACAGATGGAGCAGTGCTGCTAATGTGATTTGTACTTTGGGATTAAAAGAGATGTGGTGGAAACAGATCCGGCCTCTTTGGGCTTTATGGAATGAGCAATACCCCAGTGTGGGATGTGATCCAAAGGAACAGGCTGGTATCTTTGATTAAATKTGATGATTGTTTGTCTGTTATATAGAGCCGATAAATGTCTGCTCAAGTGATGCTGGTCTGTGAACTGATAGTGCTCTGCATACCTTGCACTCGGTTTGGTGTGTGTTGTAGCAGCAGGGGAAGGTTGTTCTGCTGAAAAACAGTCAGGATTAAATGTTAGGACAAACCTACTTATAGCTGTTCCCTTCTGCCCTGGGTGCCTAAATTCTTTTGGAAACATAATGCAAAAAAAAAAAAGAAAAAAAAAGAGCTACTCAGTAGTTCGTTAGATGTTGGCTGGGGGGAGCCACAAAGTAACACTTTGCACCTCCTTGTCCTTCCCAAGCTAATTTGAGATCTGTTCCCTGTGTGATTTGCCAGGAGCAGGATGTGTCTGTAGAGAATCTGCCTGGGACATGGTACAAGGACCATGGAATTCCATGTGAAATACTTCAGGATAAGGTGCTGAGACTGGGGTAGAATGAGGGAAAACGCTGATGACTGCTAGATTYAAGGGGTGAGTTCTCAGCACTGCTTTTCTAGCAGAAGAGATCCCATGAGCATCTTTCCCKGTGGAACAGCCCAGGTCAGTTTAAGGCAGCTCTGTTTCTAGATTCACAGCTTAGCAAAGCTGCAGGTGATAAAGCAAAGCTGCTTTCAACTCAAGGTGGGGACAAGGTGTCTAAAGTAGTCCTGGCTTAGTTCTGCTACGGATCCATGAGGAATGCTGGAGCCAACACTGTCCTGCAGCTCGTTCCCCTGGCCTCAGGCAGCTGGACAGTGCTCTGGTGTGCTGCACCCGGTGAGTGAACTCTGTGCCTGCAGCCCTGTGGGCAGGAACGCTGGGGACTGAGGGAGTGCAGAGTGTGCTGCTCTCTGCTCCTTCCCCCAGCGATCCTGCTCCACCTTGGAGCTGTGATTCACACCTCACTGAACACTTCTTGGCACTTCCCAGCTTTGTGCTCTCATCCCTGCCCAGGTACTCCAGCTCCCTCCAGGCAGAGCAGGGTGAGTGCTGTCCTGAGGGCAGGAGCCTCAGCAGATCGGTCACCTCCTGGGATGTGCTTCAGAATCACTGTGCTCAAAATGAAGGGTATTTTTTTTGTGTAAATGCCTACCCTGATCTGTAGCGTTCAAAGATYAGCTTTACTGGATCTCTAATTAATACCAAAGCACGTCTGAAAGGAAAATTTACTTCTGCAAAACAAAGACTTTTATTAAATGTGGCGTCCTCGTACCACAACAGCAGCTCTCCCCGGCCAACAGGACTTTCCAGGCTGAAGAACAAGTTTAGTAACGCTTTTGCCGACGTGCTCGTCCTAATGAAGTGCTTTGTGGCTCAATGGCTTTACCAAAATCCCCCATTTCCTCCTTCAGGACATCTAGCAATGTCTGAGAATTGTCCAGTATCTGGGAAAGAAATAAAAATAGCTTATTTTTACACAAACTGTTTCTTTTATGAGTTCCCTTCCAATTCAGCTGATCTGCTTTGCAGCAAGAGGGGTTCTCCAGCTCTTCAGCCTCCAATTCCTGGTGATCTATCACCTTGTCTCACTGTGGGAATATCTGCAGGGGAATTTCTCTGGTTTGTGTTCATATTCTGAATATGTAAGGTCTTAAGCAATTTATCTGCCTTGGAGCATGAGACAGAGAACTTCCTGAAGCAAACTGGGGCTTTTKGGTTGGTTTGGTGCTYTTTTGGTTGGTTGGTTGGGTGGGTTTTTTTAAGGGAGATTTGATACCTGGACTTTTTAGATCTGTATTAAATTGTGCTCAGCTGATCCAGTTTCAACTCTCTTCCGCTGTTAAAACTGCACATTCTGGGTTTCTGGCTTCAAGACTAACTCAACTCTATAGTGACCTTACATCAGACTAGATCTTTTATTAATTTCCTCCTATTTTTAGCTCACAGTGTGCATAATAACATCCCTGCTTCCTGTGCTCTAGGCAACAAGTTTAGGAGACCATGCTGCCTGTCCAGCTTACYAGTTAAAAATTTTAACACAGTGGACAATTGTAACCAAATGTCCCAAAAATAAATTATGTTCCTGTGGGATTGTGGAAATCACCAAGTGAGGTGAGGGAACCAAGGATCCCAAGGACCTGAGGGAAGCACCCCATAGGATGAGGTGCTGGAGGAAGGTGAAATCCTGTGGGGGCTGGAAGAAGACAAAGAGAAATCGCAAACTAGGAATGTACATCCACAGGAAAGGAACTTTGTGACTGGTTTCTCTCTGTAGGACACGTGCATCTCTTCCTCACCACCTCTTTCTACCTCCTGTGGGTGTCAGTTTGTTTCAATAAACAGGAATTCATTTGTAGGCTGGATCTCAGGCAACATTTCTTTTCAAAGGGGCTGATTGTGTCCTTACAACGTAATTTTTAAGGTTTTAAATTTTTTATGTGAGTTTCCGCCTTCACTTCAAACCAACAGGTCGTGAAGGAGGTCAAGGGAACAGCTCCAGCCTCATCTGAGCCTCACTGTCATGGGAAAGTACTGACTTCGAAAGAGGAAGAGGAGTTAACAGTATTTGGTCACATTCAAAAAGCAAATGGGAGGAGAATTTAGGCAGCAGCTAATAGGGGAAAGTTCTCACCCAAACTGGGCCTGGTCACCAAGAAAAGGAAGACTGCCACTATTCTTAAAAGGGGCTGAGAAGATTTTTTTTAAAAAAACAAAGCTGTTGGTGTGTAATGCAGAAGTGACCAGCTAAAGTGTAGAGCTGTCCCAGGAACCAAAATTACAGTGCCAGCCCTCGCTCTGTTTGCCTCCTTCCCACCCTTCACTATCCCARCAATTTTACTCTTTCAATGATATTAGTTCATTAAAGATAAAAATCTACACTAAATGTTGGACAGGAAGAGTAGCAGGCCAACAGCTCTACTAGAATCATTGTAACAGTGGGATTGTGGGTCAGTGTTGTGTCTCTGGTTTCCTCCTATGGTGAGAGATGATCATTTTTAGGGGTTTATTCTAAAAGCCATTTTTGATGTATTTTGACAATAAGCCCAAGCCCAACCTCTTGTGATGGGGGTCTGTGTGCCAGGGCTGCATCCTGAACCCAGGGCTGTTGTTTCAGCTGAAGTTCTACGGCCCAGGGAGGAGCGCTGGTTCATCGAGGTGCTCCCAACTGACTTTTGGGTAAATCCAGCCCCTAACTTCATATGGAATTATAGATATGTAGCCTAAACTCCCCTGACACACCATTAGGCTGGACAGCAGGGAAAGGTTCTTSTGTCCCCAGAGGGTGCTGGCACTGCCCAGGCTCCCCAGGGAATGGTCCCGGCCCCGAGGCTGCCAGAGCTCCAGGAGCGTTTGGACAGCGCTGCCAGGGATGGACAGGGTGGGGYTGTTGGGGGGTCTGGGCAGGGACAGGGGTGGGACTCGATGATTCTTGTCCACCTCAGGATATTCTGATTCCGTGACTCCCTCGGGTCCTGTCCCAGAGATCGCTGCTATCCCTGTTCTCCTCACGGGGAAGCTGCACACTGCGGTGYGTCCCCTCCTCTCCTGCAGGCTGAACACACCGGGCGCCCTCAGCGCCGCTCACTGTCAGTACCTGCCCGGAGGCCGCGTCCATCTCGGCAATGGTGCGGTCGATGTGGGCTCGGGTGGAYCGCAGCCCCGCCAGGCTCTCGCTGGTGTTGGCCAAGCGCCGGGAGAGCACCGCGATCCGCGCCTGCAGCCGGACCCGCTCCGCCTCCTCGACCCGGATCCGCCCGCTCAGCTCCTCCCGCCGGCCGCGGAGCTCCGACAGCCCTGGGGGGAGGCACCGTCAGACCGGGGCGGCACCGTTAAAGGGGCCCGCTCACCCCGCTCGCCCCCGGCCCGCTCACCCTCCTGCAGCGCCGTGTGGTGCCCCCGCAGCGCGGCCTCGTTGCCGCTCATCGCCGCGGTCGGCGCCGCTCCGCCCCTTCCTGCGGCCCCAATGGAGCTCTCGGCCGCCTGGCACACGCTCAGCACGGCGCTGGTGCCGCCCGTCGCGCTGGGGCTGGTGAGCGGGGACCGCGCGGCCCTCAGGGAGCGCCGCGCTCCGCCGGGCCCGGGCAGGCCCGACCCGCCGCCCCCGGGCTGCTCCGGCCTCGGCTCCTCCCGGCCGGGCCTGTCCGGCTCTGGCTCCGCGGGGCGGGTGGGAACTGCCGGGGCCAGGGAGTAACGGCCGGGGCTACCGGGGCCGGGGGAGGAACGGCCGGAGCTGGGGGAGGAACGGCCGGAGCTGAGGGAGGAACGGCCAGGGCTGGGGCAGGAAGGACCAGGGCTGGGAGAGGAAGGGCCGGGGACTGGGGGGAGCGGCCGGAGCTGCCGGGGCTGGGGTGGAACAGCCGGAGCTGCCGGGGATGGAGAGGAACGGCCGGAGCTGGGGGAGAAACGGCTGGAGCTGCYGGGGCTGGGGAAGATGGGAAGGGGCGGCGGGTGGTGTCTGCTGCGGGCTGTTAGGGAAGGACCGCGGGTCCGGCCAGGCTCTCTCTACATCACCCCGACCGRGAGCGGGACCAAAGCACCACAGCTTCCCCGGCCGTGCTGTGGCTCTGCTCTCACTCCCCACGAGGGAGCTGCCTTTGGCCAAGGAAGGGTTTTGCCCCAGARCATGGTGTTTCAGGCACCCAAGGGTGGTTTGCAGCATTCCCATCAGCATCTGTGTCCTGCGGCAGCCAACAGGAGTGACAGCAAAGGATGSGTGTGGGTGTGAGCCCTGGGACATGGGCTCTGGGCTGCCAGCAGTGGACCAAGACCCCAGCAGGTCCCCATGGAGGAGCAGTATCCCCCCGGTGCAGTTTGACAGCAGAGTTCCCGTGTGCTCCATCAAGCGTTTGACTCGTGTCC